CATATCTCCAATAAATGTAACTTATATATCGTGTGTATAGTTGAATTATTTTCTAATTTTACTAATATATTCTTCGGATTTTCTCCTTGCTGCACTTACCTTATCGTTTTAAATATTTCACTTGTTGTAATATATATATTTCATTTCATTTCGTACATATTTCAGTTGTTGAACGTAGTGAATGTAATATAATGTAATGTAATTTCCATAATTTTTACGTTCCACATAACCACAACTTCATTATTTTAATAACTTTTCAATAAATTTAAATTCGTCACTAATACTCAAATACTTCATGACTAGAGTGATCGAAGCCTAAGAAATTTTCCTCAAGATTATTATATTATTACATAAAAAGTTAATTTTCATAATTTTTATTTTTCCTTATCAAAATGAGCATTATATCCATATTTTTAAAGTTTATTAGAAAAATATTAAACACGTGTAAATGACAAATAAAAATCTTAATCTGTTCCGGGAAACGAATTTGAAAGGAGATTAGTCAAAATTTGGGCCAATTTTTTACTTGGCTGGCAACAAAAAATGTTTACAGGATATGTTTCTACACGTTTTAAAGAATTAAAAACGGATAATTATTCATCAGTAAAGCGATGACAAGGTTATAAAAAATAAAAATAATTCGGAAATATTATCAACTGCAAAATTCATCTAATTAATAAATTAATTTTTAAAAATTCAACAGATATGTTTGTCATAAACTGATGTTACATCTATCGTTTCGTCTCTTTTTGAGGTTAAGGTTGAGGTACAATGCGACGACTTGAATATGATTAAATTTCTTAATAAACAAATACTGCTGGAGTACAAATTGTTCATTTAGGTGAATCGATGGTTTTCTTGTTCTTACGATATAGATTGAGATTTAATCGGTATTTTGGCTTCTAATGTTTTGGACTTTAGTTCTTACTATATTTACTAATTTACTAATATTATATATATTAATTTTCAGCTTTTAACTCGCTAAGATTTAATCTTGGCTGAATGGAGTTTAGCTTTACACTAATTAATAGATTTTAATTGTCCGAATATTTATAAGAATTTTATGACCAGCTTGCATAGCAAACATCCAATCAAAGAATATCCCTAATTCATTATATTTCAAGGTTAAGTTTATTAAAAAATTATTTTTTATAATTTTCTCATTATTTCCATATATAAATAAATATACGTTTCGAACTGTTTAAAACCTGTAGAAACACCCTTAGAAACACCTTTTTAAAACCTTTAAACATTTTTCGTTAACAGTCAAATCTAAAATTAGCTACCTTTAATTAATTTTTTGGTGTGGTAATTATTTAAATTAGAGGATATGTCATCGATTTCAGTGATTTCGAAATATATTATATTATGGAGTGTAAAATTTAAAAAACTTTTTTTCATACATGTAACTCACTTTCAACTTGGTTTCTAAATTCTAATTTCCTATGCATAACTATACATAACTGTTACCTATTGCATTGCTTAAACATTTTACTGTTTTTATTTCAAATTCTAATTTAAGCAATTGCAGTAAATTTGACTGTAAAAAATTAAATTCGTTTAATTCTATAGTACCCATTTGAACTTGCTTAACTTATATTTTCAAACGATTATTAACAGCTAGAGCTATAGTCTAAACTTTCGAGTCGTATCCTTGGATTGACTTGAATGTTAATTTGAATCCTATTTGTATAATTGCTGTTTTGAATTTCATTTTCTCGATCTACGAAGTCTCTTATTCCATTGTATTCTCCTAACGTCTCATGCATTGCGTAGAAGTAAAAAAGATTCGTAGAGATCTTACCAAGATAAGTTACGTCGACAGAGGTCAGCAGATATTATACTACAGTAAGTTACATCGATATTTTTTTTATCTTACGTCACTAATATAAATCCTGTATTTACGTTATTCCTTTGTTTCGCTCTATCTCACTTGGTTTCGAAGTGTTCGTCATTTTCCTCACGCTGTCTTATACGATTCGATTTTTGGGTTCAAAAATTTCCACGAATAAGAAAAATTCATGTACCTAATATCTGCAATTGTTTGAGAAAAGATGGATCCATTATGTAGTAATTAGATCAACTCCCTGGTAAATACCTTCTTCTCAGTGAATATTAACCCTTAACGCTCCGACTTTTGATTCTGAATATCGACCGGCAACACTAATTTATTCTCATTATACTTCGATTTACAAGTTTTTAAGTGTCAGATTTTAAATGCTACAATTTCGTGTAAATAATAATATTAAAGTCATTCAGAACAATCTTTATTCATCTCAGAAGTAATGTAAAAAATAAATTTTCAAAAATACATTTGGAATAGGGTGCCGCACATCGGTGGTGCCTGAGAGGCACACTTGGAGCGTCGAGGGTTAATCAACGAGAAAATGATATGATTCGAAACATCGACAAAGTACATTAACCCTTTGCACTCGAGAGGTGAGCTTCATTCACCATTTCATAAAATTTGGAAGATCGATATTAATTAATATATCAAATTTAATGTAATGTAACAGTGTGCGAGGTATCGAAATCAAATAATTCTACAATTCTGTTATTTTATAATTCCTTATCTACTGCTCAAAAAAGTATCGTCAGTTTTTTATTAGAGTATCTTTGATTTTCTACTCTTCTCTAGGCAAAAATTCGTCGAGTGCAAAGGGTTAACACGTTAAGTGCCTCGCCTGTCCTCAGGGACCAAAAGGTATTAACTTTTGGTGTTAAATTTTTCGCCATCTTTGGACCTAATGTTTGGGAATTTCTTAATGCTTCGGAAAAGTTATTAAAATAATGAAGTTGTGGTTATGTGAAACGTAAAAATTATGGAAATTATATTACATTATATTACATTCACTACGTTCAACAACTGAAATATGTACGAAATGAAATGAAATATATATATTACAACAAGTGAAATATTTAAAACGATAAGGTAAGTGCAGCAAGGAGAAAATCCGAAGAATATATTAGTAAAATTAGAAAATAATTCAAATATACACACGATATATAAGTTACATTTATTGGAGATATGGACCGTGGTGGCGCTAGTGAGTTAACGCGTTAAGTGCTACGCCGGTCTCCAGGGACCGGCACCAGACTTTCCGTTCGGGACCGGCCGGTCCTCAGGGAGCAACCCAAATTAGGACCAAAAGGTGCTAACTTTTGGTGTTAAATTCTTCGTCATCTTTGGACCTAACGTTTGGGAATTCCTGTTATAACAATTAGTACGGTATCTCCGAATTTTATGAACACTTGGCCTGCCGCCAGTGAGCCACTTAACGGCCGAGTATGGGCCTGAACGGAACGGCAAGCAAAACGGGCTGGACACATAACGTGTTAAACGATTAATTGTTTTTAATTTAATTACATCGTGGAAATGCACGAGTCAACCAATTTGAGGAAAACTTAAAATAGCATTAGTTTCATATGATTTCTTATAGAATTTCGAAGGAACGATGATGCCTAGATTACTATTGGAAAACAAAGAGAAACTTGGAAACATTGACAATAAATAAATAAAATAAAACCAAAATAACTAAAAATATATATTAAGACTAAACCTACCACGGCTTAAGTGACTATTTTTAAACCTTTGATTTTGATTTTTGTATTCAATATCATCCCTTTGATCACTCGACTATGTGATTTCTCTGTTAGTATATTTATATATTGAACGTTTATTTTGAAAGTGGTGCAAGTCCATTTTCTGTTGTTTCGAGAAAATTAAAGGCTAGCATATTTGCCAATTAAAAAATTAATTACGTCAGGTCTAGCAATGTTTCTACTAATTTATCAATATGTAATTTGATTATATAAATTTCTTTAAAGCGAATTTAACTAAAATAATGTATATTTAGGGACTGCAAATGGATTTACACCACTTTCATAATTAGTCAATTATAAAAATCATTTAACTTCAATTTTGAAAAATTAAATATCACTTAAAATATATTTCGTATAAATCCAATTCTGTTTATAAATAATAACAAGAAATAAAATAGGAGTAGCATCTTTTATTTTGAATGTTAATTATATTTATATATCGTTAAACTTAACGTAAGATATTGGTATTATTTATTTACGCTCTTCGTGTGGCAGTGTTTTGAAAATTCATGATGCACAGGAGGTATATAAGGTAATAACTGCTCCATATTCTTATATTTTTCGTATGTAATACGCCTAGGATCGTGATAGAAAGGCGCTAGAGCGATTTTTTTCAAATTTTGGCGGTCTTCTCCGACATGTAGGTGATAAATCTAAAGCCTTAAATTCTATGTTCTCCATTGATGTTTCACATAAAATAGTGTACGATGTACTTTTGCAAAACTTTATCCAACATACTTCCAACCAATTTACCTTTTCTCCATTAATGTTTCTTCTTATCTGTTTTTAATTGTGTTTTGTAGATTTTTTGTTGAAACTAAATTTTCTCGTTTCATTTCTTGTAAAATAAATTTATTATGTTTTTATAACGTAATAATCCTATGAAAATTGGACTTACATCACTTTCATAATCAATGGCTACGCAATTTCTTTTATCAGCCAATTTTAAATTGAACAAAGCATTGGCATTTTTCTAAGATATCAAGTACTAACTAGTTATAAATAAAAAGTTTACACTAAATTAAGCATAAATTATGTGATATCTCATCTGTTTTTCTTTAAATAAAAATGGACCTACACTTTCAAAATAAACCATCCATATAATCAATTTTTCAATATTTTCTCTTATTCTATTTTTTTAAAGATTCTTCTTTCATACTTTCTTCCATCGGTCATTGGACTGTTCGTGGGAAATTTAGTGTTAAACAAAATAAATATACAATTAAGAAAAAGAATAGCTATCAAAAAATATCATATTATATAGAAAATAACTATAAATAGCCAATGCTATCATGATGCTATTATGATGCTTGCATCATGAATCTGATTTAAATTTGTTAATCGTTAATAAAAGGATTGCTAAGATGTATGCGATGCAATATAACGATAATACTTACCGTTTATGTTAAAATAATTCAAGCTAGCAACGACACCACGCCTCCATCTCGGCACAGTAACAAAGATCCTGGTACTCGTAATCTCAAGGCCAAGGGGAAGGTTATCCTCTTGCTTGTATCCTGGGAAGAGAAGCTTAGTGTCGTTGCTTGGCCATTCGTAATCAAGTTGTTTCCACTGGAAAGCTACACGAAGTCCATCGTCAGCAGTAACGATTATCCAAAGATAGCATTGAAGTAGAATGTTGGAGAGATACAGAATCGATCTGATTTTCATGTTGATTTCCTCACTCTGGAATTAAAATACAGAATCAGTGATCTTTGGTATTTCGATATTATAAATTGACATTGAATGAATGAATAGTGTAACTAACAATGTGATTTGCAATAAGAATTAATAATGTAAAATACAAAAACAGAAATTGGAAACTTTTATTAAATACGAAGGGTAATTATATTATGCGTAATGTCATCGAGTCATTAAAAATGATTAACACACGTGCAACGAAAGTTCGCAAAGTTACATAAAACATCCAAAATTTCTTTATGTACATTTATAAACATTCTAAATAGAATTTACTTTACATAAATTTGCTCGCTACTTTCAAAATTTTGTCTTTGATTTTTATCTTTCAAACGAAATCATTCTTTTCGCAAAACAATTTTATTTGTACAAATAAGCGAATATTGAAATGATATTCTTCAGTTATTGTTAATATGGATATTGTAATTTAATGATATATATGTATAAAAAGTTAACCTTTAAAGATTAAATATCTTTAGAGTCTAGGCTTTTAAATAACTGCAATTCGATAGATTTAATATTAAATTGAGACTGTATAGACTAACAAAGTGTGAGAAATTATTATTATAAATTGCAAATACAAATAATTCACGTCTCTTATAATCAGTTAACTATATAAGAAGCTAAAAAATTTTATAAAACTATAATTAAATTATAATATTTTAAAACTATTTCTTAAACATTTTGTTCTATAATATATCATTAACATTAGCATTAATACAATTAAAAAATTAATCGCAACAAATTTTTTCTTCCAATTGATTTGTGAGAAATTGTTCTTTAAAGACATGGAAATTAAAATGAATCATACATAACGTGAATTTACGCCAGCATTAAAAAAAAAAGAAAAAAAACGATAAATGAGAATTCACATAAGTAAAGGCGACCTTCATAACTTGAATGTCTTTTGTTTACTACATATAATTAAATTATCTTTTAATTTAATATTTAATATAATAAATTATAATTTCATTTTATTTTGCTACATATAATTAAAGATTAAATCGTATATAGAATATTCATTAGTTAATATTTATTAGTTAAACGTGATAATTATAACGAATTATATCGCTACTAATGATTATAACATTACCACGATAATTGCAGATAAAATAAAATTTTAAAAATATATGTATAGTATATCTTAATATAGAGATATGTAATTTACAAGAGATATAACACTATAAAGGATTAATAATGATTTTCCACTATAAATGTATTTGTAAGTATTTGCTACTTTCATTAGAATATACATATATTACAGTATTGCTTAAGATAAATTTTCATGCGAAGTTAAGTTGAAACCAAAGCTCTATTTATTTATTCTGTAAACAAACTTTTGTGATTTAATTATAATGACAAAGTTTCAAATTTTAAAGAAAAATCCTAACCTTATCTTTATTAATAAAATCATTGAATAGAATACGAAATGAATTTCAACGCTATCTAAATAAAAAAATAATTAAATATAAAATATAATAGCCAAATTTTGGAATCACTTTCCCATTTATGTTTATATCAAATCTCCTGTTGATTCTGGTATAAATTTATAATTTTTACTTTAATAACAATTTTTGGCATTTTTTGGAACTTTTTCTAAGGAGCTTTCAAAAATAATACAATTCTCAGCTGACATTCTTTTTTTTAATTTTTGTTTCTACAGAACATATTATGCCCCCAAATTTTTCATTGCTTGTGTACACATATGTATTTCATTTATACAAAACAATTAATTCTTTACATATACATATTACAATAAAAATAAATTATATAAAAACTATTTAATTATATAATTATATAAAAATAAAAAATAAAATCCATATAAAGTTAAGTAATTAAAATAAAATAAAATAAAATATTAAATCTTTTCCTATCTACGATATTACAAAAATGCCATATAATGACCTTAATACTTTTCGTCACTTTGTCCAATAACAGACAAATCATAGTGAAAAACAAACCGCTAACCGTTTCACCATCCTGACAGTACATTAGAAACACATCAGTGCACTAGAAATTCTCCAGATAACTGTTCAATAGCACGAGTCACCACTTGTGCAGTCTTCCATGTCATAGTTTGCAAAAACTAACCAATCAATATAAAAATATTGAAAACATGATTCATCAACCACTTTATATCCTTATGCCTGGATATAAGCAGGTAGTCAAACTCGTCATTTAATAATGTAATTTAGAAAATCAAAATGGTTCCATTAATCAGTCGAAGTCAGGAATATAATCTATGTAACTATCGTAACAAATGAAACTAAACATCGTCATTAAAATTTTACCATTAAAGTAATCAATCATGTACGATGAATTACTTTTTAAACTCAATCACATTTTCTGACGTAATTTACATTCCTCCGATATTTTACGATTTTTCTATAATATACTAATTTATATTATATTATACCCTCACTGACAAAAGTTAAAAAAAAAATAATGATTTGCAAATTTTTTATATTTTGCATGTTTTCAGATACATGGATTAAAATTAAAAATAGGCATTATGTACGAAGAAAAACTGATTGTTTACTGATGCAAATATTATTTCCTAAATATTATAAATATTATTTATTTATTCTATTTTTAATTTCAATATTATTCATTTATTTTATTTTTAATTTCAGGAAATAAAGGATATACAAAAATTTTAAACGGTTACTTTATTTTTTAACTTTTGTTAGGTATGTATACTATAGAGAGGCTAAATTTAGAAATAATTTTAATTCGAAATAATCATTATAATAAAAAAATAAACGATATATATAAAACTGATGTATTTATTTTGTATAATACGATTGCTTCATGTTTTTATGATTAATGCTAATTCTTGTAACCTTACGAGGTATAGTACCTTCAAAAACACTCGGTAATGTACATATAACGGTACATACACCGTTGAACAATATGTAGAAGTTCGTTTACCTACGACTCGAATTTTTTCTTGGAAATTTCCAACAAACCGACTTTCAGATTTAGATATTTCAAGTTGAAATCATACTTTACTAGGAAGTTTCCTCATAATCGTAAATGTATTACAGTATTCTCATTTTCTTTTGTTTCTTAAATTTTTAATATAAAATGCATTCATTTATCGTGCATGCGTTTAATTATTTTTAATACAAAATGTGATACATAAAACTTTGTTTTCCACAAATACTGCAAATATAAATATCTTTTTTCTTTAATAAGCGCAAAATAATTGGCCAAAAACGAACAATTATTTGCTATGCATCGAAAATCATTTGTTAGAAAATATTTTAAAATTGATATTCAAAATTGTCAACTTAAATATGTATTTTACTACCGAATTTGAAATTAAAATTCCAAGAAGAATAATTTTTTATTGTCAATGCTTTAAAACTTTTATGCAAAGAATCACGAATTGATTATATTAAAAATATATCAAAAGATATAAAATTTCAGATAAAGTAAATAAGTATAAAACTGAAATTGACCTACGTATTCATCTAGAAAAAACTTACACTAGGTTATGTATCCTCTAGAACTATCTAATTTTTTAAAACATTTTTCAGTATCGCCAATAATTTAAGAAATTTTCATTAAAAAAGTGAGTTGATTTCAACGAAAAAATCGCTTATACATAAATTCCTACCGATAAGAATCTTGAAACTCATATACCGCAAAAGAACAGTAATCGTTCCAAGTGAGGAATTCGAAGGGTACGAATACTTTTGTGACTCACTAGACATACCAAAATAAATAGAGCAGTGTAGAAATATATACCTAATGTAACTAATTCCGAAAGTAAAATTAAATCGTGAAACAACTACTGCAGATGTCACTGGTGATCTCAAAATTGAGGTTAACCTAACCTGTTTACTTGATACTCTATACACGTCTTTATGCAATAAAGGATATCAATTACTATAGTTCTTGAAAATTGTATTTCAATTGCAATTTGCAAGTGAATATACGAATAGAGTATTGAATTACTGAAAATCAATTATCCTTATAATTAACATCAAATTTGATATCTTGGCTCTGATAAACTATTTATAATAAAACGTAAAAAATACGAAAAATGAAAAAAGACCTTGGAATTCATTGTAAAATATGATGTTACATAAAATATAATAATGAGTGTAAGTACAATGTAAGTTGGAAGATGTTGAAAACACTGAAAAGACAATCTTCAATATACCACAAATAAAATAGATTTTACTTAATTTGCAATATACTATTAATAAATAATTAAGAAAAACTACTTAACAGTGGTTAACTAAAATTAAATACTTTTTCAATAGATCATTTTTCAGATTTAAATCATAATGCAAGATTAGCTGATAGGTTAGTGCATAGTTAAGGTTATGTCATGATAAAATGGTGGAAACGTGTACTCTTCCAATTAGTAACATCGTTTAATATTAGAAATGGGATTTTCAAAGCGTAAAATCTCGAAGTTCATTGAAATTAAAAAAAATTTTCAAATTTTGAGAATTCCAAAACTTTTCAATACGAATATCTAGTACTATATCCGAAGAAAGAAAACTAACAGGTTAGTTTCAAATCACAGTTCGGATATTAAAATTTTCGAACAAAATGCTAGGTTATATACTTTTAAGTATACTCTGACATTTTTGCTTTTTTCGTTGAAATATAATGCATAAAAATTTATTGAAAATTTTCCGTGAAACTCCACATTTTAAAACACAATATTGCCATATTAAAGAAAATTAATAACTCAAGTTTTAAAAATATCGTTTCGAATTGCGAAGATTACTTTCTAATTTACTCTTACTCGATACTACGGTAGAAGTTATTTAGCCTTATGAAGAAACGAATGCAAATCGAAACATATGAAGATACTTTCACATGGCATAAATAATATACAGTGCGTGCCTCGCAAGAAGTCTTGCGGAATCGCTAGTTTATGGCAAATACTGTGTCACTGACCGGTGAAACTACGGTCTAAAAACTATTTTACCGGATATGGAGCATATTAATTAAGCTTTGGTATG